CTATTATAATCGTACCGTCCTACGTATTCACAATAGACTTCGCAAAGCCCATTGACGACAGCCCTTAAATTCACATTGGAATCACGTTTAGATATTTGCGGGACAAATGTCATGGCTTTCCTATTAGTATAATGTGGTGTCAATGAAGGAACGAGTGCAACTTACCTCTAGACAGCTCATAATGAAAAGAATTAAATTATGAATTCCATTTAAATGAAACCAAGGGACATCTGGTTAGAAAAGTGAGAAATTGAGATTTAGGGAAAATTAACTAATTTAAGTGTTGCAAATCTAATTATCGCCATCCAAATGCCCTCTCGCCTTAGAGAAGATGGCGGTTGTCCTACTTGATGCTTCAACATTTTCTGATTTGCACGACTTGTTGAACTGGTCGGTAAAATCTCAAGTCTGTTTGTGTGAAGTGATTTTTGATTTGAGAAACAAATCTGTTCCAATCCCCATAGCAAGTTAAAAAGTCGTGAGTGTGGGGGGGGGGGAAAGATGGAGGCCTTGATTTTTTATTAAGAAATGAATGAAGAATACCACAGGTAGCTCTTTTCGAATTCGAGATCCTGTATTCTAACTGCAGCGGGACACAATAGATCCGCCTTTGAAGGAGAAATAGAGGCCATTAGGATAGCATTATGCCGAAGGAGAAATAGAGGCCATTAGGATAGCATTATGCCAATCATTTTGCCTGGATACGACATTCACCAAAGCGGTGATACTTTCGGACCCACAGTCAGCAATAAACTCAATTGGAAGCAGAGAGCCACTAAAAACAGCTGAGATAAAGGAATTTAGAAAATTCTATGAGCTGCTGAGTGAGAAAGACAAAACAGTGGTCCTACAATGGATTCCTGGTCACTGTGGCATTAAAGGCAATGAGCTTGCTAACACACTTGCTAAGAAGGGGACAACGACTTTCACCCAATGAAGGCCTTAATCAGGAGAGACCGATGTCTTGTGATTTTGCAAGTTGACACACTTGCTAAGAAGGGGACAACGAGTGTGCAATTCTGACACACTCGCTAAGAAGGGGACAACAATTTTGCAATGCATGGCCCGGCCGATGTCTTTCCACACTGAAGGCCTTAATCAGGAGAGAATTCCAGACCTCAAGGTTAAAATTAAAGCTCGAACAAAGGAGAAACAGTGGAAAGTACGAAATTAAAGCTCGAACAAAGGAGAAACAGTGGGGCAACGAAATTAAAGCTCGAACAAAGGAGAAACACACTCTCCGACATAGCCGACTGGAAGAGAATTCAAGACCTCAAGGTGCAACGAACTCAAAGCTCGACAAAGGAGAAACAGTGGACAGTGGCAATCTCCGACATACGACTGGCGCCGACTGGCCAAGAATCGAAGCCGTTGCTGAGTCTTACCTCGAAGAAAGGAGAAACAGTGGACAGTGGCACTCTTCGAACCGACTGGCCAGGAATCGAAGCCGTTGCTAGAAGCTCGAACAAAGGAGAAACAGTGGACAGTGGCACTCTCAACATACCCGACTGGCCAAGAATCGAAGCCGTTGCTGAGTTTAACTTTGGCCAAGAATCGAAGCCGTTGCTGAGTTTAGACTACGTACGGACGGATTGCCTGGCAAAACACCTTCAAAGATTGGGAGTATACAGTCAAGGTGCAACGAACTTAAAGCTCGAACAAAGGAGAACAGTTGGCACTCTCCGATATACCCGACTAGCCAAGAATCGAAGCCATTGCTGAGTTTAGACTACGTACCTGACACGGTTACCAAGAATCGAAGCCGTTGCTGAGTTTAGACTACTTGGCCAAGAATCGAAGCCGTTGCTGAGTTTAGACTACGTACTAGAGAAACAGTGGACAGTGGCACTCTCCGACATACCCGACTAGCCAAGAATCGAAGCCATTGCTGAGTTTAGACTACGTACCGACGGATTGCCTGGCAAAACACCTTCAAAGATTGGGAGTATACACTGGCCTCACAAATTGGGATTATACACTCAACCCACATGCCCTCCATGTAACGAGATTGAGAGTATACACTCAACCCACATGCCCTCTATGTATCTACAGGAGAAAATGGAGAAGACCCACCTGATTCGGTGTTCAAAGGAGGAAATGGAGAAGACCCACCTGATTCGGTGTCTAGCGGAGGAACGGAGAAGACCCACCTGATTCGGTGTCCAGCCCTAGAGACAAGGGAGAGATTCGATGTCCAGCTCTAAAGACAAGGACGGAAGGCCAGAGATACTGGGAAGCAAGAAGACCGCTAATGAATCGCTATTAAATATCTGCTATAAATGTACTCCCCCCCCCCTCTTGGGGGAAGCTGAAGTCAAAGTTTAAGGGCTAATGATAAATATCACAAAGCCTGCCATTTGAAAAATACAGTGTTTAACGAATAGAAGCACTTTTCCATCCTCTTACCAACTGTTTTGGAATACGTTATTACCTTGATTTCGTCTCGATGGCATATGTTGGTGAGTATAGCGCCTTATCAGATGGAAATTCGAACGAGTTCTTCCTTGTGGCGTAGTGGCCAATGTGTTCTGCAGTGGTGTTTGAAATGTCTGGTTGAATGAAGTTGGGTTTTTAAATGATCAAGTATTATGGCTCAAGTTAGTTAATAAAGAGATTGGTAAACTTTGTGAATGTTGGAAAGGTATATAAATGATTTGATACAATTTCCAATGTGGCCTATTCACTTAACTTGAGTGTTACTCACCAAGAATACCAGTTTTTATATTCTAAATGGGTGCTGGAAAATAACCACTTTTGTAGACACAGCTTAACGAAATCAGAAGTAGTATAGTCATTTTATGTGAATATCTAATGGAGTAATTACTCGCACGATTGCCATTGGCTACTGTTTACTGGTTGTATTTCGAAATGCCTTTTATACCTTGTCAAAACAAATTAAATTTGATGTAACTATGTGAAAAGCAAGTACTTAATTCAATGTTGAAATTTAAAAGTCCACTTGTTATTAGGACGAAATAAAAAGAAAAAACGCTCAAATTTGATTAAATGTGTAATTGTCAGTTGGCCGATGGGCTAATTCACACTTTAAGTTTAATTAAATTGACTTCATTAGTGTCTCTAAAGATAAGAATAAAACAATCAATAATATTTAAGTTTTCATTAGAATATCTTTGAGATTTAAAGTGATGAATTTTAAGTATAGGTGAGTTCATTCATGGAAAGGGTTGACTGAAGCTTCAGTTAATTTGTTCCTTAATTGAACTAGTCTTGAAATCGGAGAAGAATAAAGATTGTTAGTCTGATGAGAAAGGGTGAGAGCTAGAGACTCAGATAGAGGGAAGAAGATGGGGGCATTTGGAGGTGGAGAGAGGATTGTAGGAAGACCAGGTTAGAGATGAGGACTGTTACGTGTTGGTGCTAAATTCCGATGTAAGTGCCGTTGAGAGGGTAGCTATACTTGATCAAAGATCACAGGCAAATATGTGGAAATCTGAAGTTGGCAAAAAAGTTGCAAAATCATTCTACAATAATGATATACAGAGCATGGAAGGCATGGTAACATGCATCTGGTGATTGACCGCGTAAAAGCAACATTGGAAGATAAAATGGATTCAAATATACCTTCAGTACTGCTTTCAACACCTCAGTAAGATAAAAGGCATTGATGCCGAATTGGAATGAAGAAGATTTGAAAATTTTTTGGTAAGAGGTCGCCACAAAGGGAATGAATAAAAACATTGTACCTATTTTATAACCAGAAAAATATTAACATGCCTGAATTGAAGCTTCGCCATATGGCTGAATAATATACATGTTATTATCCCATCGGCGAAGAGTGTAAAACTTTAAGCACATATGCTTCACCATTCCACTGTGTTTCACCAATTAGGAAATATGCGTGTAGGCTATGTTTTATTTAAGCAGTCAAGGGGTGAGCGATAGACTTACCTCCACATGGTGCACCCTGGGCAACGTATATTCGTACGGTAAAAAAAGGCTATAAATCGACAGTTGACTTCTAACTTCAAACTACCATAACCCCACCGTATGTCATATTCTACTACTACCACAATACTCACCTCATCTTTTCTCTGCTTTTGTGCCTGTCTATCTCTTTTACATCTTTGAAGCACTTTTCTGTCCCCCTCTTGAATTTTCTCACTTTGATGTTCCTCCCCTCTGTGAAGCCCGAAGCCAATGATAACTAAGTGAAGCCCGAAGTCAGCTAAAGGGCTAATGATAACTATCTTAAGCCTGGAGGTCAGCTAAAGGGCTAATGATAACTATCATAAAGCCTGCCATTTGAAATTAATAAATTTAAGCAATCAAATTGTAGGCATTTAAAATTTCAATTTCAAAGCCTCCTTCCATTCATGCTAAAAAGCATTATATCAAAAGGCGTGGAATAACATAAGCTGGAATAAGCCAGAAATTACTCTGTTTGGCGTGAATCATTTACCAACACCTCTAGCCAACGGTTGCGAGGTTCTTTGCTACGTGCTTTTGGTTTGATTAGTCATTGAAGTCTGACCTTGAGCTTTATCCACTCGTGGAATGGTTTAAACAGCATACGGCTGCCACTCTTGGTTTCAATGCGCAATATGCTGTAACATGGTAAGACAAGCTTTTAAAATAATAATAATTTAAACATATTTATTATTTGTTATATATTTTATGTACATTTTGTTAAGAAGTTTTTAAAAAGTGGGAATTGAATTGCATATCATTAAAATATTGCCGAATAGATTCTGTTTCCTATTATTCCGCCAGTGATATCGAGTGAACGGCTTCAAAAAATGGAGCCAAACTTAGATTTCAACCCACTCACACAAAATTTCAATTTCAAATGCACTGTCGATGCAGTGTATTTCCATGTGTTTATTCTGATTGGATAAGTTGGTCTAGGGTCATTAATTTAGCATATAGAATGATCCACTTGTTTATGAACATGGATGGATTCCGGACATATTCTCTAGACTGGTATGTAGGGTGATTAAAGTGTAATTCCGTATTTCACTATTGATTTTCTCAGTTGTTTGTTCGAATAGTTTTTCTCTTCCGAATGAATGTTAGGCTATTGTAATTTTAGAATGCTGTCTGACTAGCAAATAAGTAAGGTGAGGTTTCGCTCTGGATATAATGAATGTGGGCTCTCGCAGTGTTCTTAATGACATATTTGTTGAATTTGTTTGTAAACTTTTCCTTTATTGATTGATGGAGATCTAACTTCGATCCCTAACTTAACTTTCCAGAGGAAATAATAAAAGACACCAATGAAGATCAATTTGAAAGTTATCGGTAATTATGAGGTATTATGCCTCGAATTGCATTGGAGTCCATTCTGAAAAACGCTATTTTGCTATTGATGAACACTTTAAAAACTGTGTTCAGATTCTAGTGACAGCAGTTTGGTCGAATACATTCATTTGATACTTGAAATTGAGCTACACATTTGTATAATTATATGTTGGTATTATTTTAGTTCGGAGAAGGAACCGTTGGAAAAGAGCTTACTTAAAGAAACCTTTTTGATCATCCTCAGGTCTGTTTCTTTTCCCAAAGAAAGTAGTATTCTCATTAATTGTGGTTGTCTAAATTTTTGGTCAACCATTTTACCTCGATCCCACACTAAGAGGGAGAGTGCGGTGTTCGAAGTAAAACGCAAGCAATATTTTATTAAAACGAACTGCAACTGTGATTCAAATTGATACTTTTTACGTTTTTAAGGAGCGACACAGTACATTAGTTGCGAATTTCGAGTGTGCATGAGATTCATTCACTGCACACTCT